GCTGAAAGGCAGCTATTTACCTATTTATGATTTTGCGTCGGGCCCATCAACACCCCCGAGCTGTTACATCATTGGACGTACCGTATTGCTTTAGTAAAATACCTTTTTATTCACATTAATACACTGGAATCTCTACGGGTCCTCGAGATTCGGATCCGTTCAAAGGATCGTAAATGTTTGACTGTCCGCTTCTTCTAGACTTGACCTTCAAGCATTTATTGTTGACCTCGCAAACACCTGATGATGAACATGATGTTGTATGATGGAAAGTCCAACAGCGGCGGTCCTACTGGGCGCGGGTTCAGGGTGCACTCGGGCAGGTCACACACACACACACACACACACACACACACACACACACACACACACACACACACAGGCAGAGACACACACACACATACACACATCATCTCTAAGGACCTTCAACACCATCTCCTGTGCTGTGAGCGCCTACCACAGGATGTCCACACGCCACATCAAGCTGCAGGAGATCGAGCGAGCGAGGCGAACAGGGACGGTGAAGTACACTGCAGTCCTGAGGCAAATCCACCCACACCAGAGATACTACTCACTCCCCACACATACTGTACGTGTACTACATGTGTACTGTATCTGCACACATCTCAACCTATCGGACACCATACGGGTGTGCGATAGCTGCCCTTAAATACACGTCTCCAACATTTAATGGCCTTTTGGGGGTTTTTAGTAGGTGTGTGTGTGTGTGTGTGTGTGTGCGCGCGCGTGTAGGACTCATAGTATGATGTATAGGGTTTGATCCTGCAGTGTCTTAACGAAGGCAGGAACCATCTGGTGTTGGGATGTGAGACAATCTGTCCATTTGGATAGGTGACAAAGAAGGTGATAAGCACAGGAACACGACACGTGCACGCACACAAGCACGCGCACAGACACGCAGACAAATGATTTGGAATTGTGTCAGGAGAAGGCAATCCAGTACACACACACACACACACACACACAAACCCGTTTCATTTATACCAAGTGCACATATCTCTAGTCTCTATGGTAACTAGTAGCCGCCATGGCAACGGAGAACAAGCGGTAGAAGAAAAGGCTGAACGCTCATGACTGTCCTCAATTTATTTTGGACCCCTCGTACGGTTACGCACACACAGACACACACGCACACATATCCCGACACAGTTAGTCATTTTCAGCTTTTCAGAACACATTCCCAGTTTTGAGCGTAAATACCTCCTGAAGTGGGGAACGCAGGGACAAGTCAGGACTCGAAGGTGAATCACACACACATATTATATATATATATATATATATATATATATATATATATACACACACACACCCACACGCACACTAACAAAAAGTGAGCACAAACTGTCGGGTCTTCACTTCAGATTGATTAGTTATACATTATATCTCTATATATTATACACACATGTACACAATTAATCTGTTGTGTTACAAGATGACCTCCCTTAATCTCAGCCTGCCCATTAATAGCACCACACACACACACACACACACACACACACACACACACACACACACACACACACACACACACACACACCTTTAAAAAAAACATTAAGGAAATTCTTCCCAGAGGACCTGAAACTATTTGACCCCCCAGAAGCGAGATCCACTTGTGCTGCGTTGTGGAGCTCGGAGGACTCACTTAGAATGAGAGCATCTTGCAGCTTCGACGCACTTTTCTTTTTTTGGGCTTCTTGAGAAGAAGGTGGTGTGACTGAAGAGCGAAGCAGCAGCACCACCGCGTGGATCTACACACGACGTGACTGCACATCCCTGGGAATGAATGTGTGTGTGTCTGTGAGAGCCTCTTATCCATCTGCCATCGGATAATATGACGGGTCCATTCATCCACGACTGGATGAGAGACTCTTGAAATAATAATGAAATATAAAACATTAACATTTCGCCTTTTGACATCACAAAACAAATGAATAAATAAAATGTTTTATTCACTCTTGTGTGCAGCATCTGTGAGGCACATTCAACCATGAACCAACCAAAGGTCAGTTTTTAAACAATAAATTAGTCGTGTGTCCTATAAATATCTTTATATTATATTATATGATATTTGGGCTTTTGAAGCTTCTGGCCTTTTTTCAGGTGAGAAACTGACTTCTTTTTCAAAGCCACCAGTCAGTTGGCATCCAGCTAAGAAGTTCCCGAGCGACGCCTCCTCGCAGCCCGGGTCGAGGTCTGATGCTTTATTATGGAGAGAAAAGCACGAGAGTAGAATAATCTTGAGGCCACACTGACTTCTGGGGAGATTAAGGACACAAAGCAGTTTAAGGCGCAGCTCCCTGCAGACAAGGTGCTGCATCATTCGGCACCCGGCACTCTCCAAATGTTCGAAACTTTACTTCATGAGGCCCTCAGAAACGAATGGCTGATTAAATGGTCACTTATTCATTTGCTCTTGTTCGCACTATAGGTTAAGCAAATTGGATTCAGTGAGCCACCATTAGTTTCATTCTAGCATAATGTAAAAAAAAAAACTCCAATAATAAGCAGTATGTGCACACTTACTAATAATAAATTCTTATCAATTATTCATGTCAATTGAATAATTTAAAGATAGGTAATGTTCATTTCAGGTGCCAAGAAAATCAATCATGAAATAAAGTACCTGCACTTTTATTTTTTCTCGCGAGAAATTACTTAATGATTGATCATACTAACTGGGAATATGTACACCGCGTCATACAATGTCACATGGGTGTTGGGATAATCACTTTTGCAATAAAACAAATGTCAAACGGATAATTCTGAGGTAGTTTTCACCATAGAAATGAGAGAAGCTGATCAAGTTGTGAGAATAAGATCACATCCTTTTATCTTGATTTTCACTTTCAAATAAATTCGGCTAATCTCACATTTGTTTCTTTCCGTTTCAGTAGCTTCAAAGTTTTTCTTAATTGCCAAGACATACTTGCAAAAAATATCTGAGATATTCGCACTGTTTAAGTCGTCTACTACGTCATGATGTGAAATACTGTTATAAGATGAAAGACTGACCGCCGAAGATATTTAAAGTTTAAAGTTATTTAGACAAAATAAGAACTTGTATTTTGTAAGATGAACATTAATGAATCACGGTTAAAAGGACAAAATATTAAGAAAAGTTGTAGGTTAATATTAGTCTTATGTGAGCTGGATTTCACAGTTAACCTTCATCGGGTGCGAAGTCAATCTACTCCGATGATGCAAAACCTGAGAGTCGCTCACACACACACACACACACACACACATCCCTTCAAACGCAGCACCAATGCTCCTCCTCCCGTGTCTCCCTGGACACCTCAACATCAGCGATTATCTTAACTATCACTTTGCTCATCGTGCTGGAGACACTTTGTTCTCTTTTATGTCTCTCTCATCCCCTCGTTTTGTGATTAATCTGCTTTTTTTCTTAACTTTCTTATTAATTTGCAGGCAAACTAAAAACAATCCCCAAAAACTAAATTCAATATATGTATATTTTACAGAAACTGCTCTGCTTTACTTAAACGCAACCTGCATCTGAGGTTTCCTTTGACGTTTGTCCTCCTATGATGAGTCTCTGATCTCACTGTGTGCTTGTGCGCCCTCTAGTGGCGTCACCCTGCTCTGCACTGCAGCCTCACAATCCTGATGCAATACAACATTCCTGTTCACCTGCAGATGCTCGTCTAAATGAGTATTAATATCAGCTTGTAGTATAAAACACTCGTGCTCATCATTTAGACGTCGCCGCTGTGCTTTCCACAGACACACAGGGGATTGACACAGCTTATGTCCCAAAAGCAACACATTTTAAAACATGCATACGTGGACACTGAAGCGTTCACTAACAATTTGTCCATCTCACTTATGCATCCGTGCAGATGCTCTCTCACACACACACACACACACACACACACACACACACAGGAGCAGCGTGTGGGCGGCATCCCCAGCGCCGCGAACCATCTTGCATCCCACATGCTTATATAACTCCCTCCCCAACTCCTCCAGCTGATCACTCATCACTTTATCCTACGCTGGGAAGGAAGAGCACCCCTCCTCCTCCTCCCTGCCCCTCGTCGAAATCAGGCAGGCGCGCGCCCTCTGCAATCCAGCGTGATTTCGTTACACTAGCAGCATCAAAGCAGCACATCTCTCCGTTGGGTTGCAGCAAAAACACACACACACACACACAGCTTTCGTGTCGGTGGAAATCAGAAACCTGCACCGCTTGTGACCATGTAGCCGCTCGGATGTCAACCCTTTTGCAGCTGCAAACTATCCGCTATACTATAAACTATTATACGGAAGGAACTCTCCCGGAGGCCAGAGGATAAGCTCAGGCATCGGCTGACGTGTGAGGCTCACGGGGCGGTTTATCGATTCGGAGAAACAAATCCACTCCGTCACCGAGGCGAAGGACGAGGACGGGGAACCAACAAGCGCTGCTGTCCTCCATCGCAAAGAAAGCCATCAGCTAAAGGTCGACCTCGAGCAAGACTTCGCTAAGCTATCCAGCGTTGTCTTTTCTAATGCAAGCAGCCAGCAGCATGAGACCAACTCATTCAGGCCAAAGGAAATAATTGGACTGCTGATTAAAATCCAGCGAAAAGATAACATTTGATTTATGGATTGCCGTTGGGATGCAAAGATTATTCCAGCAGTTATAATACAATTGGATAATTGGATAAGTTGTTTAAGGCAACAAGCCTGAGTCACATTGACGAGACAAGGCTGTAGTCATCGGTTAAAGGATGAGGCTTGTGTTCTTATAGATAGATTTGTCTTTCAATAATAAGGAAGGAAAAGGCCAAAACCAGCAATGTGGAACTCATTCTCTTAATATATCCCAATAACAAACTTTGTTTTATTTTTTTAAGAGATTAATCAGGATTTGGAAACACAGACCAAACGAACAATCAAAAACTCCTCAACCCAAATCCTTTCAAAATTTTTCAGGACCGCGCGCAGAAGGAGGGAGCGAAACCCCCGATGCGACTTACATTAACGAGCTCGATCTCCCAGATCTTCTTGACCAGCTCCATGGAGGTGTAGCCGTTGACGAGGAAGGACTTGGTGTAGTCGCCGAGCTCCAGCGACTCCAGCCACTCCGCCACGGACGTGGGGTTGTTCCCGTCGTAGCCGACGGGTCTCACCTGCGGGACGGACGGGTTCTTTGAACCTTGCATTTTTTACATAAATACAAACAGCGAGCGGAGAAGCTCTGGCTGTGTTTCACCTTTGACCTGGAGCTCTGCGGCTTAGAACAGCTGTTCACATGCTAACTACACTACAGCCTAAATACATGTGTGTTACATAACATTACAGCGGTTTGAGTTGTGTTCACCGCATGTTTCCTTCCTTTCCACATTTGCTGTCTTTATTCTGCTGCAGCAGCAAAATCTCTACATGGGCATCATTAAAAATGTATTCGTAATGGGAACATTCGCTTCTCGGGGAGATTTTGAGCTCTGAAAGAGGACGTTCTAACTTCCAGCCGGATAACGTGCAAACAGGAAAGCACAACTTAGGAGAATAGGACTGCCACAGCAGGGGGGTTAGTGCCTTAAGATAGTGAATCACATTATTCATTCACTTTTATTTTGACAGTCGCAGCTGCCCCAGAGAGCTGATGGTGCTTCAAAACAGAAGCACACATCCTTCGCCTTAAGTCGAGCACGTGTGTGTGTACGTTTTTTTTCCCCTGGTCCGGGTCGACTTGCATCCTCACATTTGATTCTACACCACACAGACGGAGTGAACATCAGCACTGACCCTGGGCAGCAGCCGTATGGCCTGCAGGAGCCGTTGTCTGTGGGCCGAGTTGAGGATCCCGATCTCCAGGAGGTCCTGGTCTTCCACCACGTTGCTGCCCTGGAGAGAAGAAAATAAACACAGCCAGGTTTAAAGGGGGTTTGAGCTAATAGTGTAGAGAAGCATGGCTCTGCAATCACAACACAGAGCAGCGGTTCGGTGTGCGAGCTCGGTTTTGGTCTGTTTGGAAACTCGCTGTACAGCTGAAGCCGTTTTCTCGACATGTTTTGGTTTCATTTTCAATCTAAATGAATTAACGCTATTAGAGGAATGTCTGATATTTACATGACAGCTAGAAATATTTTGGCTCTTGATAGTTTATTTTACAGATTCAGTCCAAGTTCACCACTTGACTAACAGGAGGAAATAAATCAAGTCAAACTGGACCGTTTTCACAAAAATACAAAGACCAAAAAAAAAAGGTGCTCAAAAAATAAATGGGAACAGAAAAGCAAAGCGTGGGCACGTTTTCGTCTTCTTGTCCAGATTGTACCTCAGCACTTCAAACCATTTCTGGATGTGCGTGTGCCTCCTGATGCTGCTGTGAATGCTGCGAACGCCCCCACATCAGTAAACTGATGCTGCCAAAGTCTCCACTTAATCCAAATTGTGTTTCGTAGGAGTTTATATGATTTTGTGCAGCGACATTCACTGTACCACAGTGGCAAAAAACAGGATTTTGGCACCGATTATCAAGCAAAAGAATGAAGCAAAGCTACAACCGATAGAACGGAGTAGACATTCTCATTTGTGACACAGCGTGGGTGTCTCATACAGTTTCACCTTCCGTAATCCAATGGGAAACATTAAGAAGCCTATCAGTCATCTTCACCCCCCCGCCCCCCCGGGTCTGCAGGAGAGTCTTGGTGCACACAGATAATTAGAGGAAAAGTGCCGGCAGGGAAAAGCAGCACAGGGAAGGGCCGTCTGCGCCTGAAATAGCACCAGGTACACAGAGTACAGAGTGAGAAGGGAGGCAAGGCAATCGCCACGGCGACGGTGGAGATAAAGCAGGAGGTGAGGGCGGCCTGGAGGTCCAGCCTAACACACACACACACACACTCAGCCTGCTGTGATCCCACATCCGAGAAACAAGACGGGGGGGGGGGGGGGGGGGGGTGTTCAGCTTTCTCCCTCTTTTACTTTTGTCTACTTTTGTCTAGAAGTCCACTCTGGGGGACGCGGTGCCCGAGGTCAAACTCCTGCGATGCTCTGACATTTTAATTAGAAAGTAAGAGGTAACCTTTGTTTAGTGGCGGCGTCCTCAGGAAGATTTCACCGGAAAAATCCTGTTCAAACTCCAGATGTACCAGCATAGGATACTGGATTAGCACATGATTAATCACCATCCATTACATACATACTAGTAATATGTACTATATACTGTAATATGAGCTCTTGAATGAAGAAACCATACTAAAGGTACATTTAATGAACGATGATGCGTTTGCCAGTTTAAATCTATTCCACCTGAAGGCCAGTGGCAGAAATACGCAACCTAATGCAGCAATGTGCCATCGGTGGCTAAAAGAACAAGACGGGTAACTAGAACAGGAATGCATTCTTCATCTATTTGCTTGTTTACTAAATAACTTTGCAGGCAAACCTCAGAAAGGCAGCTTTAGTGGCCCCTTCTGGTTAGAAACAGACTGAAAATTAGCAAGCGACAGCTTGAACAAAAGTGCAAATGGGCTTTGATTTCAAAAACACGAATGAAGAAAACGTTTGCGCGGCCGGCACTCTCCTCTCACATAATTATATCCCTTAACAATCAACAAGATTAAACAGGACACTGGGACTCTGAGGGAGATGATTTAAGCACTACTATTACAAAGGGGCCCGTTCTATCAATCAGTGCTTTTATTTAATGACACGGTCAAGGAGCATTTCTTGTAAAACAGATCCGCGAGATCCAAGTCGTGCAGTTTCCTTTAATGCATCTTTATTCTCGTTCTCCAACCTCCCTCTTTGATTAACATACGGTACAACAGTAAATCGGCTTCCAGGCTGACTAATGGAGCCCAGAGTTGAAGTCACCGTGCTACATCTCCAGGGCTGAGTAATAACTCACAGCAGAAGGGACCACAGAGGGATTCAAAGCCACGACTGCCGGCTCCCCGCTGGGATCCCAAAAGAAAGAGGAACGACTTCCTTCCTCCAAACACGACATGATGTTTGTCCCCTACCTGCACGTGAGAGATTAGATCTCGCGTCGGGTGTTTCGTTCATCGTGACAGCGAACACCGTTACTCCACCTGAGGCCCCCGGCCTCAGAGGGTCACTAACAAATTCAAATTCATGCGCGGCGGCAGGAGGTTGAGGAGGAAACTAAACATTGATATTCAGTGGCGGCGGCGGCGAAGGCCTGGTAGAGTTCGCCTTTCCTCTTGCATTGGTCCGCCGTCACAGAACGTACCACTTTGTTCTCTTTGTATTGTTGCTCGCTCAATATTCAAACCGTCGCTTCTCTGTCCTCACTTTCAGTCCCGGATTCAAATGCGCCTCGGCTTTCCTCGCGAGCTCGATTTGCTGGTCCGTATTTCACGCGCGAACTCCGGCGGCGGCTTAAAGAGTTTCACTTCCAGGATGAAAAACGTCCTGAGTGAGGAGGATTAGAACTGGCCGCTTTGAATGAGATAAGCATACTGACAATGTTTCGTTTCAAAGACGATTTCATTCACTTCGCAGTCTTCGCTGTCGCCGTTATCGAACGGCGTCTTCATTTAGCGCCGCTAAACCATTCAATTCCCGTCTCTATCAACTGGCTTCCATCGTCCCTCTTTGGTTTCATTGTGCCGACTGTAAGCGAATAATAAAACATCCCGATAAAAGGAGCCATTTGTTTATCTCAGTGGCTCCACCAAGTCCAGCAAGCATCAGCTTGTGTGTCTCTTAAAAGGGTTTCCTCAGTCTCCCTCCCTGTCAAGTGAGCGATAACAAACCACATTAATCGTATCATTTCCACTTTCGCCCTCCATCTCTCTCCCCTCCCGCCCCGTCCACTCGGGTTCAGATCCCTGAGATTCAGCGCCAGCCGGCCGCGTTTACCGGGGAGTGTCTTCGCATCGGACGGTAATGATGGGCGCTGAACGGGGGACAGCGGGGCCGCAGACAGAGGACCCTGCAAGGTGAATCGTCTGTTTACCACCGACCCACAGTTAAGTAGCACCGACCGTCTTTTTCTCCTGATTACAATCATTTGGGAGGAACACACCGCCAGGCTTTGCAATGAAAACGGTTCAATAATGAAAATCCGACTGATGCAACAAGCAGTCGTCCCATCGCTGTTTTGGTTCAGTCTCACTGTTCTCATCAGCATCGTTTTCAGGACCAGCAGGACGCCGATTCCAGCTAAAAAAAAAGCTTTAATGAACCACATTTAGCTGTTAGAGGAGCCAGATCAATCACAGGGTTTCTCTCTCACACACATTAGTGGTGAATGGTAACGGTGGACTGGAGCGGTCCATGTTCACGTGCTCATGCGTACATTCCCGTACACGGTGGCTTCATATGTAGCTGATATGGATCAGAAATGGGGTGAAATTCATCTGTAGATCGGATGTGTTGACTTGTTTTCAGCTCGAATCCTCCATTTGATTTAATCGCAGACAGTGAGTGAGAAATTCATTTGACCAGAATCTGTCCTTGAAGAATCCACAGCTGACGTTAAACAGGAGCGCCACTAATAGATTCCCTGAAGCCTCCGTGCCTCTACTGAATTAACATCAGCACTGAAGACATGGAGTCTCCCAAGGGCAGAACACGAATATGAAATGTCGTCCTTTTTAATCCAAAACATCAAAAAGAGGTTTATAAACTCCAAGTGTGACCAGAAAGACTTTCAGCAGAGAAAGCCCAGATACAAAAGGACCTTTTGATGTCCCCGTGATGTTTGTTTGGCTGTTTCATCTCCGCTCCTTTCAACATTGATTCTATCCAAAGGCCTTTCAGAGAAGACGGCTGAGCTGAGAAATATTTTAAGACAAGAGGGGCGAAGCCGAGAGAGCGGAGAATCCCTAAATTCTCTCTGAAGGCCTGACAGACAGGAGTAAAAAACGTTACTTCACTGGTACGATGGCGTGTGAGTGAAAGAGGAAGGGCTGTGGACGAGGGGACGTCAGTAAAATAAAAAATGATGGTTGACATGGACAAGAGATGACAAGCCACTGTGGAGACCTGAGGTGTGTGAACAGGGGCTCAACTGAACAATCAAGATCAGCAAACGTGGCTTTCGGAATATTTGCAAGTATGGCCTCACCACGTGAAGAACGAAACAGAGAATCTGTGATTTCATCCTGTTGCCACGGTAACTAAAGGAAAGAGATGCAGGTCACACCGAGTGGACGTGCAGAATGCTCATATACGTGAATATTCATACAAATGACAACATTTGAGTTGAATATTCAAAATGAGATTCAAAAATTAGGAAATACTGAAAAAATAAAGTACATTATTCTTTGCAGGGTGGTAAAATATAATCAGTTCTTTGCTACTTTGGTTAAAACCCCAAATTCTCTTTGGTTTGCAAATCGAACCCTTTGAGTCAGCATCCCTCTGCTCTTTTAACCCCCCCCCCACACACACACACACACACACACACACACACGTACACAACCCTGAGAAACATCAAAAGAGTTGCTGGATAAAAAAATGACCCAGCAAATTTCTCCTGATATGATGAAGAAACCATCGGATTGAAATGGACCATCGGGATCATCGACAGGCTACAAGTGGTTGGATTTCTCTGCACAAACCGCGAAACAAGCATCCTTTTTGGCCGTGCATTTTGTAGTTTATTGTGAGCACGTAAGCCTGTGGCCTGATGCTGGAGATGGGATTTCTGTGCGTAGGAGGACCTCACATGGCCTCAGTGGGGAGAGGCAGCGATGACAAGGAAGGGAGAGAGAGAGAGAGAGAGAGAATGATACAAAGAAGGGGAAATCCAATGAACGAAAGAAGAAAAAAAGTGTCACCCTAATCACTGTAAGGAAAATGATGAGAGAAGATGATCTCCATCTAAGGGATCAGAGAGAGCTTTGGTGGAGGCGGAGCCAACAGGGAGAGAAAATTACAGTTAAAGACAAAAAATATCCCATCCTGAACCCCCCCCCCCCCCACAAACAGAAAAACAAACACTCACCATGAACTGGACGTTGTCAAAGCCATTGGCCAGCAGGTGGTTCTCGTACTGGACTAGACCGATGGAGTCGAGCCACTGGCCCACGGACTGCATGGGGCAGCGGGGACCTATGAGGGGGTGGAGGGGCAAACGCTTCAGTAAGGAGTAGCCGTCCACCCGGTAGCAGCGGCAGTCCGGCTGAGACAGCTGGCACTGCCACATCATGTTATGGCGGGCAAAGTGGCTGTCGAAGGAGCCCGCCATGCTTTTGAGGAAGTCTCTCGGTAGGGCAGCCGGAGGGAGGAGAATACAAGGGAGGCAGGTAGGAGGAGAGGGGGGCAGAGGGGGGCAGAGGGGGGGGGGGGGGATGAGGGGAGGGGGGGAGTCGGATGGGAAGGAGCAAGTGGAGGCTAGGCTAGAGGCATGGCGTGGAGGGAGGATGGAGCGTGCATGGAGGGTGCAAGCGGGCAAGGGCGGCTTGAGGCGTCCGGATGCTGCTGCCTTTCGATCCAGCAGCGAGGAGGGCGAAAGCCGAAGTTGTATCCAGAAAGGGGGCCGCCGTCCTGGGGCTAAATCCTGCCGGAGGGTGGAGCGAAGGCAACCGACTGTGTGTGTGTGTGCGCGCGTGTGTCGCACGCCACAGCAGCCGCTTTCTTTTCAGCTGTTGCGCTCGCTTGGCTGCTCCCTCAAACGTGTGTGTGTGTGTGTGTGTGTGTTTGATGTGTGTAAAGAGAGAGAGAGAGAGAGAGAGAAAGCTGCATGCGCTGTAGATTCCTCTTTATCAAGTACTCCCACTCTCATCTGTATGCTTCTGCAGCCTCTTCGCTCTCCCTCCTCTGAGCGCTGCTTCCCTCCCTCATTCCCTCACTCTCTCTCTCTCTCTCTCTTTTGTCCCTCTCTCTCGTTCGCTCGCTCGCTCACTTTCCTCCGTCTACCTCGTGTCTCCATCTCCTCACGGTGTAGATCGTCAACCTGCCGCTCCTCATGTATCTGGCTCGCTCTGCTAATAATGGCCATCAAAACAGCTACAGCTTCTTTGTCTGCAAGAAGCAGGGGTCCCTCCCACGCGCGCACACACACACACACACACACACACACACACACCGCGTGCATCCATGCCGCTGCATCTGTATGTGCGCGTTTGTCGCTATCTTGTGCATTGTGTGGTGGGCAGCTTTGGCACAACCAGGGCTTCTCCTCGTGGTAACCATGGTTAGCAGAGGCTTTGCATTCATAGAGAAAAAGAGAGAGGGAGCGAGGAGGAGGAGGAGGAGGAGGAGGCGAGGGGATCAGCAGGTGGAGGAGGTACCACGGGGAGAGCGAGCTGAACGCAGTAAACAGGGAGGAGTGGCGTGGATTGGAGGTATGCAGGTGGGCGGAAGGATTTAATGTGTCTCGTTTAACTATAACACTGATTTGTTTCAATTCACGTCTTATTTTTGTGGGCTTTTTTTAACCATCATTCCTTGTTCTTAACAAATCGAGCTTTTAGTGCAAGCTGAGCACAGATACAGTTTGTGGCTCCACCTCTAAAGTTATTGATCAATGAGCTTAACGAGATCTGGTTGCAGCTCCAGAGCGCAGTGGCTCCTAATCCTCTTTAAATAAGGCGTCCCTAATCCTCCATCGATAGTTACACATGTTTGTGTGTCGTTGAGCAAACCAGACAGCAGCTCATGTAATTCAGAGGTTTTGTTCTTGAACACTATTTGTGTGGCGATTCTCCTGTTCTGCAAACGTTCTTGATATTTCAGAACTGATGAAACCCTTTGAGGATCTGGGCCTTCAGCTTGGAAACCAGTTGGTCGCTAGCTGATGATCTGAATGCTTCCGTTTATTGCAGTGTTGGACTTCATTGTAAAATCGTCCCAGTGTTCCCAGAGCTCGGTGTTCTCAAACAGCGACGGACAAAAGATACTAAAATAACACCCCGGAAGTAATAAACCTGACTGTCCTCTGTGTTAGATTTACTGACACGGCCACACATACATACATCCGTGTGTACTTTACCTGAGGTGTCCTCCTTGATGTCCAATCCGCTGCAGATTCCTGCACCAATAGAGCTCATAATCTTGTCGATCTGAAGAAACGAGAGAGAGAGAGAGAGAAGTTCAAGGGAAAGCCAGTTCCCAGTAATAAGGCTAACCCCTATTTCTGGATTCAAGTGTCACATAACATGATCATTACGCCTGGCAGCTCGCTGGATCGCACTCATTTCCCCGGTGAATTGAAAAAATAGGGAGGAGCAAATGGGGGAGGGGAGAAGGAGTAGAGGTAAAAGGAGGAGGAAGACCGATGGAGGGAAATTCAGCGGCTTCATTGGTGTCGGGCTGTCGACAGGTGATCACGGAACCCGATGTCTAGAAAAACTAATGCACCCTGAATATGGAGCCCAGAGGCAAAAGCAGCGACTGCAGGTCGATGATGGGAAGTTATCTTGAAGATGCATTTCACAAGATGGTCGATTAGATTCTGGATGAAGCATCAAACGCACAGAATAACCCTCCGACTTCAAGCAATAAACAACACTCATTTCACTGAAGTCCTCTTTGTCGCTCATCTGCTACATATGTGAGTTTGACAGACGCCGCACTGCTGTTCTTTTCTAGATTAAACACATTGTACAGATTCCGCTGCAGGCTCTTAATTACCATCCAAATAACCACAAACAATCAGCGATTTTCAAGGTAAAGCCGTATGAAAGCATCACATGTGTAACATGCAGGAGCTACTGCGCCGGTGGCACTAATGAGTTTGGATATCTTCAGAGTATTGACGGTTCTGGGACGTCCCCCACGACGCTTCTGCTAATAAAGCTACGCTTTCCTCAGCATGTGCCGCAAATAGAGCAACGTTGTTATTTTGGAAATCCCCATATATCACTATTTCCCCCAAAGTCGTCGTACCTCGTACCCCGCGCCACGCAATTACACAGGAAAGGTCACCTTAATTGCTGGGGATTATGGGAAATTCCATATGGTAATTCATCACCATCAGCAAGCTATGAACATAACAGGCACGCACACATCTACTTTCACTCACATGCATTGCAGTTATTTTGAAAAATAGCACTTAAGTCCTTATTATTATTATTAGAAAATAATCTAATCTAAGAAAATAGAAATTTCAGGGTATAAACATGCACAGACATCAGTGCTGTCTGTTGCAAATGAGTCTTAACGAGTCAGTGACCCAAAGTGTTTATGAAGGGGCAGTCCGGTTAATGGGCAACATCTGGGTCAGAGGCGCTTTGGTACCGAAGGGGGGCCCCCGGGCACAAACGCACCCTCGGCCCTCCGCTCTCCAACCTCTGCAGCAGAGAGCGCTTCCTCTCTGCAGCTCCGGTCAAATCTACGTGGGAGCACGTTAAGCCGCCACTGGGCCTCCTGCAGCAGCACGGTAGCTTTTAAAGGAAGTGAAGACCTGAGCGCACGGAGGTCTTCCACTGCGGCCCCTCGCAGAGCTGCTTCAATTTCACCGATATGCATGTAGTGTCCCAGTACAATAAACTCAGTAATGTGAAGATGTTTTCCTTCTGGTTTTCTGTCCCCCACTTTCTTTCATGCTCAACCTTTTCCTACCTCTTCCCACTCAGCCGTGAAGGACGGTGTCCTCTCCAGTCGCCCCCCCGGGCCGGAGCCCTCTCCTGGGCTGGGACTTCCGGGCCCCTGGCCACGAGACCCAGACCCCCAGCCGTGCTCCTCCTAGACACGGACAAAAGCATCAGATTTACGCCTGATGACTCTAAAGAGAAGCAGAGCTCGCCAAATGCTTCTTGACCTTAAAATGTTGGACACCCATAAACCGTTTCTCAGTGCTCATCAAAGATTTATCTGTAATGAAGCATTTTTCTTCAAACAGATTATTTATTTAGCTTATGATTTATGTGCAATGAATCAAAGAAGCGCTGTGGCCCAGATTAGTGTGTTATCTAATTGGCTGCACTGGTTTCTGTGTCTGAAGTCAGCCTGCATGATACAGCAGGATGCCAACTATCCCCACGGCTGCATAATTCATTCACCTGAACATTTACAGTCAATGCTGATTTGCTCTCGTTGCAAACTGAGATCTGACCTTTAAGTTTTCTAAAAAGAGAAACTTGTTCACGACTTTTGATAAGAGAGATTTTTATGTTATTCTCGGCCTCCTACATAAATGTCTAACTGAGGAAAAAGATTTTAAAGATTTAACCCGCCTCCATAACGCAACCTACTGTAGCTCCATTTCAAAGATCAGGCTCAACACTGGAGTTGCACAATTAATTATTGAGATGAGGACAACAAACGTAGATGGAAGCAACAACCCACCAGTATGGGAGACACAGCTACCAGGTTGGAATCGGACTTGGACAGAGACTTGGAGCGCTGCAGGTCCAGCACACTGCGGGGGATGGACCTCATCCTCCCCAGGGTGCAGGCCCGCTCCTCGCAGCCGGCACCGCCCTTGGGCGCGCCGCCTCCTGTCTGGACCCCCCGGTACTCTGGAACGCCACCGTTTTGACCAGAGGCGCAGCAGGAGGAGGAGGAGGAGTCCGCGGGTCGGGCCTGCTCCTGGTTGACCCGGGTGTGGAAGATGGTGCGGTACACCACCTGTGGCTTCTGGGCGGGGTCGGCGGCCCTCCGAGGCGACGGGTCGCTCCCGGAGAAGATCTGAGGGGCTCCGCCGGCGATCACGAGGCTGACGTCCGGGCTCGGCACCAGGCCGCTCTGGGCGTCGGTGCAGGCGTGCTTTCGGGGTTTGGGGCTGTAAAGGTGGTACGGTGTGTCGGGCGTTTCACACGCCGGGGAGGATCCATGCAGGAGGCCGCAAACTCCTCTGGGATGTGGCTCTTCCTGCGCTCCTCCAACAGAGCACTGGATGTGGAGGAAGAGCAGAGAGGAGGAGGAGGCGGAGGGGGAGGGTCTCGCTGGTACGGCCCGTCGTCTGCACACAAAAGAAAAAACACTGACTGATTAGGATTAAATGATAGAGATTTGCATAAAACGAGCCTGTCACAACAGAGATTCACGCCAACGGATTTTAAAAAAACAAGAGCGATCGAGCATTTACACTCGCTGCACAAACAAAGCATATATTAATATTTAAATAGCAAAATGCTTCGCACACTACGGAACAGAGAGGGGAAAAGCCGAAAACAGGAACGCAAAACGGCCAAAGCTGCAGGAAGGAAGATAAGAAGGAGGTAATACATCTTCTGCTCTCCTGTTGAAACGCTTTGTTCCTCCAAAGAGGAATAAAAGAACCCATGACTTGAGTTTTTACACCTCGTCTGGGTGCAAAGCCGCGCGTCTGAACTTCTGCATGAGCGCACAGTCATCGGGGCAGACGTTCGTACACCATTCACTGGGCTTTATTCTTTTTCAATGGAATGCTTCAACAGGCGCCCTCTCTGTCTGCGCGCAGTGGGCCGAAAGCTCCTCCCGATTCTCTGCACAGATCGGCGTTTGTGTCGCTCTGGACGACGCGTCCGCGCTTCTGTTTCCGTCTGCTTGATTAACGCAGCTCGTTGGTTTGTGCTCATCGTCTGTGTACAAGTTCCACCTGAGGTGCCGGCGATTGTCTCGCATGTTTGAACAATGTATTCCTCGTAACGCAATGTGCAAGATGAGAGGTGTATTATTCTCATTCTTAATCCATCGTTATTATTTATTGAATTTTTCCAGAGCGGAGGAGCAGCACTCAAACGCACAATGATGAACCGACGACTAACGAGAATCTAGCAAAGGAATAATGTTCCAACGAGATTTTATTTATTTTATGGATGGGCCGATTCAAAAGAAGTCTCTTACTCACTGCATTGAAAGCTAAATACAAAATGTATGGAGTTAAATCCAAATAGGAGGCATAAACCGAGCATAAGAGATAAAAGCATGCGGAAGAAATCATACAAGGTGGATCAAAGTCAGTAAAAGGAAAAAAAATACAGGAATCCCACAGAGAAAAGTGGACAAAAACACAACTTTAAATGAACGCTTGTGTTTCTTTATGGCTGCATTTTAACATGTTAAACACAACAATGTCAGTAGAGTTGTTATAATACGTTCTACAAGAAAAAGAATCAGAATTCCAATAAATGTCTCAATGTAAAAGAAGATTTTACAGAGTTTTCTTCTCTAGGTCACATTATTGCTGCATTAAGTCGCTGTGTACGGAGTCTGCTCCTATTATCATACAGAACAGGAACTGGCTGAACAGCACGAGAATATCTTTCAGTGATCAAACAACAACAACGTGGTCGGCACTAATTTAAAGCATTAATTTAAAGGTTAGCGATCGGCTGGGTGGGACGGAGCAGCTGGTCAGGTCTTTGATCTCATGCATGCTAATCCAGCAGAAGGTTAAATGACATCTTGCTCATCGGCGTTTGAAACCAGCAGGAAGCTTCTCCGGGTCGGATTGTTTCCCAGTTATCTGCTTATTAAACTGTTAATCTAACATAATATTCCACTCTGCCCTCTATAAACAGCTGAAAAGGAAGGTTAATACTCCCTTTGTTTGTTCCCCGTCACTGGGAGCTAAGATTGTGAACCAGGTCATGTAAACAACCTCACCGCCGATAAGCATCAAACACACACACACACACACACACACACAATCATGGAGTCGAATGAACAGAAACAGTCCCAGTCCATTTCCATATGAAACAATTACATAAGAGTAGAGAGAAAAAATATCAGCCGACGGCCAGAGAGACTTTCCTTATCGGTCATTAAAAAGCGGGAGATGCTCGAGCACCATTGAGTAGCAGGTGAAGCATTATTAACAATCCTCGATTTAAAAGCAACGTTTTTTCCGAATGGGATGGATCCAGTATACTGCACCGGCTGGCTGTGTTCAAAGGTAGGAAACACCCTTTAAAAGGCCTCCGCTAATGACTCGTCATCCGGCAGGACAAAGACTGAGCTTATCGTTACTCTGCACGAGGTGGAAGCTCTTTAGTGACTGATGCTCAGCATCTTCCAGCACAGACGGGAGCAAGAAGGCACACAGGTGCCTTTGTCGCCTGCGTCGTCTTCTACGGTTTGACCATCAATCAACAGCGCTGATCTCTGACATGATGTAATTCGTGATCTCTTACACCTTTAGGGTTTAACGCACCGATGGAAAATTCACTCTTTAAACCTTTCTAGGTTCGATTGATTAAACAAAGAGCATTTTTTAACAACACGCAACGTCTGTGGCATCGACACCAATGATTCCTGCATTTCGACTGCGCCATGAACGCATCAAAGAGTGAAAATATTTAACTTTTTATTCTTTATGTATATGATTCTCTCTCAGCCCCGTCTAGAATATCACTCTCTTTGCTTCCCGAGACGCACAACCGTTGGCAACAGGTGAGCCGGTTGGTTGCTATGGCAACAGAGAGCCAGACTGCCAGCATCTCTCCCACTTTTTGTGTGTGTGTATCGGGGTGTGGGGGGGGTGGGGGGTTCTGACTGAGAGTCTCAAGCCTTCAGGGGAGCGAGGGAAAAGTGCACGGATGATAAAACACAGCAATCGAATCAGCAGGTGTTGGTGTGTTTGTCTAGACCAGGGGTCTCAAACTCGCGGCCCGCGGGCCAATTGCGGCCCTCGGGACGATATTTTGTGGCCCCCGCCTTCATATGAAAGTGTAATGTTAGTGCGGCCCGCGAGTTCTATATTGTAGGACTTGTAGGACTATATTGTAGGTCGGACCGTCAGTGTCATCCCCCCCGTCGGCCATAATGGTCTGGCCCGCGTTCGGTCGAGGTGGGCTGCATCTGGCCCGTACCTGACTTGAGTTTGAGACCCCTGGTCTAGACGGAGAGAAATAACAGAGGCCGAGCTGAAAGTTACATGAACGTGCGCTTCAGGTAGAGATTTAGAGAAAAAAACAACTAACGTCAGATCAACATCAGGGGGAAAATATTGTGGCGGCATAATTTGTCTCAAACTTTTTCAGGTAACATTCATTTCCCGTCAAACAGACCTCACGGCTGTACATTATTTATCCCTTCCTGATCCAACAGTTTGCTCCGCATGACGGTCCTCTGGGTGTGTGTGTGTGTGTGTGTGTGTGTCTTACCGTGGCCTTTATAGCAAGTGCAGCTGAAACCAAAGAACATTCATACTGTTCACACACTCCTCTCCTACTTTTTCCACTGAAACGCAGCCAACGTATGAACGCAAGAGTCCGGCGGTGAAACAGCGGCTGAATCGCGCCGCATTCCTGCATTTTTCTTGCGAAACTAGTACGCAAACACACAGGCGCGAGTAGCGACACGCAGCAGCTCGGCTGATGCTCATCTCGACACAAACAACCGCTGTGATGTGTGTGTGTGTGTGTGTGTGTGTGTGTGCGCGTAGACCACAATGTCTCAATACCAGGCGGCGAATTAACCCTCATCTTCTGAAGGATCATAAATCACGAGTGACGGGCCGAGAACAACACAGTGATCTCATCTCCACATCTCTTCATAGAGAGAGAACCCTCAGAATGCACCTCCCCTGGGGAGTCCAGCCGTTCAAGATGCCTCCAGCGGCCGTGTCCCAATTCAACGACAACGACTGGATAGGCTGCGTTTTCTGCACTTGAGTACCGTAAGTATGCACACTAGGTCAGCATGATTTATGATTAGCTGCACATCATGAGACTGAAGACATAACACATAAATCTGACCATGAAAAGCTTTTCATAAAGAATTAGAAGAACAAAAAAACAACAAAAACACGTATTGACTCAGTGGAAGTCCCTTTTCCTTTCTGAGTGCTCTCTCTGTTGTACAATGATTGGAAAAGCCGTCATTAGCATCACATTAAAACACGTGTTTACGTTCAAGTCACATCGCCCTCTGGTGGTTTTAGTCATTGTGACTCAAGCAGGTCTTTTCTTTTTTGCCTCCAACTAAACCAAAGGCCCTTAATGGGGAACAGACACAATGACAAGAAACATGACACATGAGTACACAACAACAACAACAACACAAAAACACACCGTTGAATGGAGAGCCGATCTAAATAAAGTTTCAAGTTTCAAGAGTTTTAAGTGACCAGTTGGTGGTGAAAGTGGAGCTGGTACCGGGGGGTCGGAGGGGGGCGGCATGTAGAGGATGGAGGGGACTGAGCGGCGAACCTTTTGGGACACCATCAAGAGACTGGGAGCTGTGTGAGACTTCAATGTATTGATACTGGTACACTATACTGCATTTAGCATAAAGTATGTACTGGCTACGGTTTTTGCAATAATGAGAAAAACAAATCAATGTGTTTTATTGATTTGTGGGAACAGGGAATGAGGTCAGAAACGATGCTCACAGCAGAAATGTCATCTTGTAATAGCAGGAAAACATGCAGGACTTTCAGGGGCAATAAGCTATTAAAAGGTGACCTCCATCAAAGGACATGCATCACTCTTATTACTTGCACTTGTTTTATTCTAAAGTTTCCTACGTTCGTTTTCTTTGTGCAATGCAAGACAGCGTTTATTATTAGATTTAATACCTTTCATTGGTCCTCCGTGAACACAGTCCATACCTAAAAACGATTCTCACCGGCTCACATTGGCCTCTAACGTAGGAGCTCCTCCAAAATAATGACCTCCATTTCCCCCCCGCAAGCAATCACTTACCAGAAGCAAGATTTAATTTCAGAGTAGCATCTTCATTTTAAATGAAGCCCTTCATACAAAATTGAAGTTCACAACAAGATGTCGTACTTGAAAAAGATAGAGAGGCGAATCCATGTACATACACATGTATGTATAAATACATACACACACATATATGTATATACATACATACATACATATCATTAACGAATGACTGGCACAAAGACAGAAGACAGAGCCAGCGGGAGGCAGGAGGGGGGAAATTAAAGCGCGGCGATACAGAGCCGAAGGTTAAATGTCAGAATGGGAGGGAAGAGGAAACTGGGGAGACGGGAGTGATGCTCGATCTGTT